TTTTTTTTTTTTTTTTTTTTTTGTTGTTGACCTCCTTGTTCCTTTTTCCCCATAATTACAACAGCATTTTTTCCCCGACGAACAGTTGGCTAAAAGTGTGTCAGTAAGCTACTTGAAAAATCAATACGATCTGCAACGTTATTTTTCTCGCATAAAGTTACCGTAATTTGCTATCTAGAGATAAAAAAAAATTCTAAATATTTGCGTTTCATACAAAGTCGAGCATTAGTTAAACACGATTGCGCTTCCACGGTTGAATTTTTATAAGCTTAATAAGATCCACCGACAAATTTACCGTATACGTATTAATTTGACACCGGATAAATCCTCGTTTAATTAATTAGAAAGCGACTCTTCCTCTCATCGACTTTCCCCTAGATCGAAAGTGACAAAATATTCACATAGAGACACACATGTACATGCACAGCACTCGCAATCATGCAGACACACACACACACACACACATATATACACTTTCAATCAAAAAAAAATTATCGTTATCGATGTCTACTGATAAATTGTTAATGGACGAAGTGGCATCGAGTCTCACAGATCGTTGCCACTCAGTCCGGACTTGTAATTAACCGTTTAACGATATTTATGATTTTTTTCGTAATAGCATATACCGTGTATGTGTTTCCCATTGTGATTATCCTGCCATTTCCTCTTTCCTCTTTCCTCGATAGGGACTTTAAGGAATAACGAATTCTCGTGTCGCTTCTCATTCTCTCTCTTGTACCTTTTAACGAGCGCCCCATTAGACGCTCGGCGTATCTAATTAATTAATTCCCTAATACGTTGTACTTGGTCCGATTGTTTAACTGCATATACGATTCAAAGTCGTTTCTAGCCGTTGTTATCTAGCCGTTGCGATTACAAGACACTTTGCTTCGCATCGGGTGGCACTGTGACATCTCGCCTCGTTATCGGGCGCCTTTCATTAGTTACAGCAACTTAACAATTGTCGATTTTACTTGTCGAAACCTTATTCGTGAAACATAGATTGGCTAAATTATCGTCTCAAATAAAATCGAAATTTTTATATAAAGTATATTTAAGTGCAATTATTGGAAATCGGTAAATAGATTATTGATTTTAGTATAAATATAAAATTTAACCAAGAAATTGATTATCTGTAAAATAAAATTTTTTAAAATGTATAAATGAAATGAGAGCTAAATTTTCATCTAAAATAAATGAACGAAATGGAAACTGATATGTATAAATAATCGATTCGGTGAAAATTGAGATATTATGATTAATTCGAAATGTGAAAAACTATAAATCGAATCGTCTTCGAGTACTCGGGGCCGAGATTTTGCAATGCAGCCATCGAGTTAACCCCTTCTACTCAAAGCGACATTGTGATTATTCGGAATTTAATCACATGCGATGCAAAAGAGACACTATAGCAAATAATTTTTAGAAAGAAACGATAGAACTTTCACAGGACTCTCGGCATACAAAAATGTCTTTTAAATCGGTAGCTCAAATAACTAGATGTAAATAAATTTATCGCAAACGATACAATTACGCTAAAGATACTCAAGTAAAATAAACTTTGAAAGTTCTATATAGCTCTATATATAGTAGACAATTAAATTGCAAGAACTCGTCGACAGAAATTATGTGACAAAGTTTGTGTACGTTATGCATTTGATAGAGTGCAATTTTATTGTAGCATATTTATATATAATATCGTTACACGAGTTCGTAGAATATAGCGTAGAGTTAAATAGATAAAGTATAAATTGTTGTGATTTACATAATTTATATCTTTACATTCCTTTTTATATAACAGCGATGGAATAAAAGAGTTTTGCTATACCGAGAGTCGATATGTTAATTGATACATTGTCGTGCAGAAGGGGTTAAAGGGATCAAAGAGCTCGTAGCTTAACCACGTATATGTAATATATGTACACGCTTTTATCGCGTTTCTATGCATATTATTGTAAATCGCGGACGAACGCGTTATTAAAGCACCAGAATGTGACTCATGACATTTTCTCGATGGTTAATATCTGGTTCATTACTTTTAGCGTGTAATAACGTCCAGTGATAAGCGTAAATATCAATATTAAAAAATATATATATATATATATATGAAATAATATATTACAAAATTTTAGAAAATACACACAGATCTTATTTATTTAGTTGAATTCATCGAGACTTTGTTAATTGCGAAGCCCGATGGACACAAGGCGATGAGAAAATTAGAAAGCGTACGATCAATATCAGTTTCTTGCATCAAAACTAATCGTGATTGATTTTTATATTGATAATTCATTCTTTTTTTTATTGTATCCTGCTAAAAAAAATGGAAACGAAATAGGATAATTTTTAATAGTGTTAGGTGTGGGAAATAGGTAAAATCGACTTGTTGCTGAAACGCTGGACACAATCTAAAAGCAATGGACGGACGGGACTCGATAAAATAATTCACGAATTGCGTTCGTCGTCGCGCGACCAAAATCACGTCGAGTAACAAAAAGCAATAATTCTCGCGCATAGTAAAAATCGAGATCGAGCTCTCGCGCAAATAGTGCACGTTTTAATTGAACCGTATAATCTTTGGCCCACACCGGACAGAGTTTTGCGAAAAATTCTCGTCGTGCCGCCGAAGATTATTTGCGAAGAGGAAAGCGAGAGAGCTCTGTCAAATCGAGAGTGAGAAAACAAACATCGAGATACGTATACGTCGCATCTGAAAAGGATGCGAAATCGATTTCTGATAACATGATGCAGACGTGCATCACTAAAAAAATACAGTGCATATCGGGTTTTACAGAGTGCGACCCAGAACACGATTTCTGCGCGGTATTCGCTCCGCGCACGCATCGTTCGTTCTGAAGGCATCGAGAACGGTCTGCAGCGATAGGAGAATCTCGTTCTCCGCGCAATATCGGATAATAAAGAAAAGTTATAGGTAATAAACGCTCGCGTACGTTTTCGCACGCGGTTACATATATTATATAATTGCGTAATTGCGTGATAGGCGTGCGAGCGACGTGCTCCATTGCGACCATCTCACATGGCTTACACCCGGCGCTCCCCACCGAGCACAAAAAGCGCCGTAAATCATGTTTCTGCACGGCGGCACCTGTAGATGAACCGAGTTGCGAGCATAATGCGCCATGTTTCGTTCAATATTATTATTGTAGACGCACCAACAAATCGCATCGCGCGTATTTAACCGACGCGCTTACGCGCCAGTCATCCCGTAAGTAATGTAGCGTTGTTATTTGACGTACTTGTCCCCGTGAAATTAACAAGGAAATCTTCGCCCTTGCGTTCCAGCGATCTATTTTAGTCTTACTCGCTTCAGAATTTTTGCAATGAATAAAAGGAAGATCCAAAGCGATCGACGAGACTGCTTTTAGATGTACTTTATAAATTAGGGATTATTTTCGCTTAACGTACAAGAGGACGACAGCAGGAACGGTTCGAGAATGGGAAAGAGAGACTCAATCAGTCTTACGGGATGACGAATCTCCCTTGGACCGCGACGAAGCTTCGAGCTTTGCAGAACACCCGGTATACCGAAGGATATCATGAACCGAGCCGACTCGTAAAAGTCGATCGTGGTGCTGAAGATGGCAATTACGTAGGCGATTTACCAACGACTCGATGATTAATCTTAAATCTTTTGTATGTTTATATGCAGTTAAATAATGTGTATATAATTATGTAATTCAGTGTCGTGAAAATTGAACCGATTGTAATACCTACGTACCTTGTTAGCGAAAAGTATGTGCTTCGAATTATCCTTGTAATTTCGTAAGACGATTAAACGGACCTTTGAAAAATCCTTGTCGTTGTCCCTCTGATCTCTACCCTCGGATCTCGCTTGTTGCTTATCAAAGGGTCTAGACATTTATTAGGATTTAGGATTTATTTCTGCTCGTTAACCGCTGGATATTTATTCAAAGATTTATTTTGATATTTTTTTCTTACTCACCGACTACTGAACATTTGTTTTTTATGTCGTTAATTTACGCAAATTTTTATATCATCCTCCCTAATAATGGTATGTGTATCGTGTAATCATCATGCTGCATGAAATTCGATTGAACCACTTTGCGACGCCGTGCAGAGCATGCGTTCCATGATGTTTCTGCGCGAAACATGGCCGCCAATCATGTACGAGAATTTTTGCGAAGCGGAAGAATAAGTGGCGTCATCTTGATTCTTGGAGAGCATAAGTCACGATTTATCGCTGTTGGTAATATGTATGTTTTATCAGTTATTGATAAAGATGTAACATGCGGCAAGTAGTTTTACAAATGGCCGGTAGTTGGTTACTATAATACATCTCGTTCTCCCATTTGCCGGTCTCATTTATTTTTATAAACATCGCCGACTATGAAGAATGATGTCACGGAATTGGCGGTTAAATTTTCAAAGTTCATGTGACAGGCAACGTATGGCGATCTGACAGGTTATCATTGTTTACAATGTTAGGCACCGCCGGAATAACAGCCGTACACGTTAAAAAATTAGGTAATAAACGAGAAAGGATAATCGATAGTTTTGTAGAATTTCAAATAAATGCAAATTTTCTTTCGCATGCGTTTCTCTTAGGTCACACTATCGACGAAATACGATTGCGAGCTCTGGATAATATTATTTCCAAGTACGATCTTGGTTTCGTGTGCGATTGTGATGCTGTCAAGAGAGAAATAATTCAGAGACTATTCAATTGGTTCTCGTTCGAGACTGCTCCGCAACCGGAGAAGGTGCTGAATTTATTATTGCAGCTAGTAAAGGTATACTTGGACTACTTCAATAAAATGACAACTTTTAAAACATTAGTTAATTAGTAAAACCTAGATATAACTTTCATTCATTTTTGATTAATTTCTGAATTACTGAACTTAATTCAATGCAGAAAATCCTTTAGTATATTTTTCTAATTCAGGAAAATCTAATTTGCATTAATTTTGAAATAGCAGCTTAAACCTTTATAAAAGATTTTCTAGTATATTTGGAAAACTTGCTGTATTTTAATTAATATTTGATCTTTGCTTCAAGGCAGATATAAAGAGTTACTTAAATGCATTTGGCAAGTTAAAATTTCAAAACGAGCTTTGTGAATTAAGGAGGAAGCTCTCTCCAGAATGGCACGCAAGATTGGACGAAATCGAAGAAGCTGTTCTTCATTCAGAAAAAAGTCAGACAGATGGATTATATACATACAGAAAGGTACAAAAATATTTGAATATTCTGCTTATTACATATATTATGGAAATAGATAATTTTGAAGTCATATTACAGGATGTTGCTATAAATACATGTTCAAAATTTAGTGGAACACAAAATCATGTCAGACAAAAGAGTAATTATGAAAGAGGAGATTATGAAGATTCATATGGAATTTTCAATTTTCCATCTGTCCTAGATAGGTAAGATAATTGATAAAAATGTTAGAAATACATCTGCTATAGTTAAAATATATTATTAAATATGTGTATTGGGGGGAAAAGTTTTATCTTAGGGATCAAACTATAATAAGAAAAAAAGAGAAGAACGTTTTATTTTTCTTATTTGTATAGTATATTACACATGAAACTAATGCATATATAACTATACAGTACAATACCGTTTGACATAACATTGGAACATAAGAATAGTACGCAAGTTTCTAAGCTGATAGAAGGTGGCATAAAATGGTTGATAATGCCATGGCAGCCACTGGTTACTTCAGACAGAGGAGTACTCACTGCAGTCGAGGAAGCTCTTAATAACACTACGGATACTAATCTCATATTACACACGTGTCAGTTTATAACGAATGTTATGATGCAAGACTTCCCAGCCGAGGTTTTTCTTCAACGACCAACAATAATTAAAGTAAATATTCTATTTCAATAAATTACGTATCTATTTTATGAATAATATATCAAGAAACATGTATCTAAAATAATATTACAGATACTTCATGGTCTTCTTAAATCAAGTACTAATATGTCAGAAACTAATGTTGCGTGTGTGATTCCAACTCAAATTGTATTGAAGACATTGCGTAAACTGACACGTTCTTTAAGGTTTCGCATTTACTATTATTGTGAACCATGTGTAGCGAATAAAAAGCAAAAGGTAAACGAAAATAAAGAATAAATTCATAAACATGATTTATTTGTCTTGATACAACAAATTTTATAATATCTTTGTATGTTTAGCAAACTTTTGTGTTAATTATTTCAATTTATTCTAATCCATATTCTTATCTAATCATATTTGTGTTATTTATTTGTAGTTACTGGCCAGCAAATTAGATAATAATGTTTATACATCTTCGGAAGCTGGAGATGGTTTAGATAGTGGAGTACCTGAAGCTAATTATCAAGCATATCAATCGACGGTGAGTATTGTTTCATTTTTTTATCAAATTTTTTTATATTCTAATATTTTTATTATATGTATGATATAATATTTTTCAGGGAACCAGTGACAGAAGTCAAAGTATCAGCGAAAACGTCGATGATTCTGTTTTACAATTGCAACAGATGCTTCTGCCGGTTTATTGCATAGAATCTTTGAAACACGTTCTCACTCAATTGAGCATTCCCGTTGATTCTATCTTTCCTCTACGAAATGTGAAGTACGTCACAGACCTAACTCACGAATTAGTGCAGTTGTTAATAATTAGTGTAATGCCGAATATCTGGCTCTGCAATGATGACATGGCAATGAAGATAAACGATGACTTGAAAGTGTTGTTCAATTTGATGGGAGAGGTGATGGAGTATTTCGGAAGCTGCAGCAATGTGGATTACTTGAGAATCACATATTTGTATCTTACTACTATCACTATGAAATTATTAAGCAGTATTGTGCCATTGGAACTAGCAGATTCTGTCATACCGAATGCATTAAAAGCATCTATAACGAATGCCACGATGGATGCACCAATATACCTGCTGTACCCAGCATTGCATTCTATGCTTTTAGAATACGCTCGCGTAAGTAATTTAATCATCTTTACGCAATTATTGTCGCCAAGTACTTAAAGTAATGCAATTTTTTTATTTGTAGCAATTTCAAGGTGCAGAACAATTGGCAGTGGTAAAACTGTTCGATGAAACGAAAACTATCGCAAAGTCTATGCAAGCAGTTATCTCTGTGTTAAAAAATTCATTGAAATCACCCTCGGAAACATTAAAAATGTTATACGCATCTAAATTAAGTTTATCGTACCATAAAAAATTTAACTGTTGTTAAGAGGGCTATAAAATTTTTACAAGATATTGTCAGATATTCTCTAAGTAAAGAAGACTGCACACTAGCGACAAAACTGATACTGAGCTTATTAGCAAACGCGGATTTAGATATCCAGCATACGACGTACGTCGAATGCCATGCGCTAGTCAAAAGTATCTTGGGAGTTGAATATAATAGAGACAAGCTGTCATGGGAAAATTTGACGTTCTTGCTGGAACTAAATGTTTTGACGGAAATTATTTCTCATGGCGCAACGAGCGAAAACAGCGAGGTAATAGAAATTTTGTATTACACATTTCTGAATATTGCAAAGCGTTACTTGATTCAACATTTATTTCTGCTTTGGTTTGATATTCAGATAAACGATATGTCAAAAGACACACTAGTGTTTATGCTGAAAGGAAAAGTGCAGATGGGCGAAACCAGATGGTTGAAAACTGTAGAAGCTTTCATTCCTGTGCTGCAACTCCTACAGTGTCACGCTGATACCAATACGCCTTTAGGTCAATGTGTAACAAAGATATTTGATCCTGACATTTCCGATAACATACAATTACCATTTATCGAGGTAATTTAATTGGTTGTAGATATTTTCATGGCTACTTATTGCGTGCTATATAGCTCTCAATTTCAGATGTTGAAAGGCAATTTAAGATTTCTTTACTCGCCAAACAGCGACATCCGGGAAGAAGCGTTATGTCGTTTAATCTGGCTCTTGGGGAAGGAGAAAGATTCTATTCAGAAATTACCGCGTTTATCGTCATTACACGGTTTACCTCTTAGCTCACTCTGTATATTCGAGCATAAAACCTTCGTTAAGCGATCAGAAGGCAATTATCAGGTTACATATTTGCATTAAGAATATTTTAAAAATTTTCTATTTAATTATTCTTAAGAGTTTTTTTGTTTATTTATTGAGAAATTATTAATTAGAATTATAATTATTTGACTTTATTTTTAAAATTATAATTTTTTGAACATTATTTACACAAAAACTGTTTTGTTTGCAGAGGAGCAACATGTTATCAGTATTGGAAATGTTAAATGAACCAAATGTGGATCCCAAAATACGGAAATCCGCTTTAGTACAAATTAGCGTGATGCTCTCCGACACTTCCTTACACAAATTGTTCATTAGTCAAGGTGGATTGCCCTTGATTTTGAACATTTTCAACCAAGCTCTGGTAAGTTATACAAAAGAAAATATTTATAAGCGTTTTTTTTATTTAATTGAATTGTATTATTTTTAGATAGAGAAAGATTACGTAAATTATCCCGATTCTGTGATACCGATAATTGGCATATTAAAACTACTCGCATTTTTTGAATGTTCCATACGACATGAGTTATCTATCAACGCTAATGTTCTTTTAAATATCACAAGAAGTATGTATACTTACAACTTTTTAATTTTATATTCTATTCGAAATTTATATAAAAAATAAGTGTAATAATGTAATGTGTTTTACTGTTATTTAGATTTTATAACATAATTGGTAAATATATAAAAACTTATATCTTAGGTCTCTTCCTTTTTCCAAATAACGAGTGGGTAAAATCTGACGGATCGCAACTGCTGTGCTTACTTCTCTATAGCGAGTACATCATAAAAGTTAATGAAAAAAACATAGAAAACAGCGTTTCATTACCTTACATTATTGTGAAAAACATGAAGTTACCATTTGAATGCAGATCTCATTGGAAAACGAGTATACATAGACGATCTGACATGTCACGTAAGTAGTTTTAAATCGCGTTTATGAAATTTTACATTAATAAAACTATGTTACTGGTTTTGTTTGATTAAGAGATTAAAAGTTGTTTCTCATGTCTTTAGGCTATAAAATAACGAAAAATAATTTTTTTTTATTATTTACAGTTCTTCATGGCAGCAATCCAGTAGCCTTAACTTTCATTAGACAGTACTGGGCATGGGAATGGAATGACGGCGTAAACATGTTGTGGAAATGCTTAGGTGATTTAGAGAATTCGGAAATCTCTGATAAATTGAAGATTCTTGAAAAAGATTTTCTCACTCTACAATACAGTTTTCCTCAATACTGTTGTCAACAGCAGCTCTACAACATCCAAAATTCTACTACACACTATAGTGTTATGTGTGCATTAGATTTTCTCATAATGTTAGTTATAATTGTTGCTAATAACAAATCTTTTTATTGTTATTGCACAATATTAAGTATAGCATTACTGTTACTTACTATTTGCTTCATTTCATTTTTCAGGTATCTGAAATTTTACAAAGTACTTAAACGCGATAATGAGAAAAATATTGACTCACTACCGTGGGAGCAAACGTTTGAACGATTTTTATTATCGCATCCCACGAGTAAAGAAGATTGCGATTTATTTATAGATGTTTTAATCTTTTTACAATTGTATCTAAATGTTATAAAAAATGGTAAGAGAGAGAAAGATAAACCGAATATTCTAAAATATTGCTGTTTTACAAATATATTTTATTTGGAGTGATATTAAACTATTTTTTTTTTTAATTTTCAGGAAAAAATTTGTGGATTAGTAAAATTATGAAAAACATGACAAGATCGTTAGCAGATTTATTTAAAAACTTGGAAATTGACAATCAGAATGTATATCAATCTGTATTTAAGTTAGTGCGTACATGTTCAGCGATTGAAAAAACACAACAATCTGACGATAAACCTAGGAATACTTGGATTCGATTTGTGGAATTTGTCGTTTCAACATTGTGTTTCGGAGATCAACAGCATTTCTACAATCTCGGTTAGTATTCCCGTTGAATCTAGCGTATCCAAATCTCTAAAATAATATAAATCATTTATTTTAGAAATTTGCTTTTACAGTTTGATAAATTTGGAATTAATCTTTTTTTTGTTATAGCATATCTCGATTGGCTGCTAACATGTTTGACATATTTGATCGGACAGTGCGAGTGGGGAAATCATAAGAACCTACTAATATCTCTTTGTAACACACTCGTTGAATTGATTGTGTCCTTTCATGACGCTGGAACGGTTAGTTTCATGGGTTTGTCAATAACGAGAAACTCAATAATATGTCTCAACCATTTATTGCATCAGATGCAACTCAATTTTAATAAAAATGTAAGTATTTTCGATTTAATAACATTTTAAAAAATATGTGTACTAATTAGTATTTTGATTACTATAATCCATTTTTCTATAATTTTACATACGGTATATAATTAATTTGAGCACAAACGAGTAATACGGTTGTCTTTTTGTTACAGGCATGGATAGTATTTTGGTACGAAGAAGGCCGTTCGTTAAATTGGTTGCCTATGTTATGGCAAAATAGAGATCCACTGGTTCGCGCTTCGGCCTTGCAGTTACTGGCAGGTCTGATGAATATAGTGTACAATGTATCGCAACTCCTCAACGCAATCGCCATGGCACCGAGTGATTTATGTCACACGCTGCTCCAGTGCATCACAAACAGAGAGGAATCTTGCTTAGTGAGAGAACAAGCATGTATTGCATTTTGCAACATGTTGAAGAACTGCAACTCTATAACTTTTCAGTGTGTAAGCGCAAAAGTACAATATTATTAGAATGTCAGAAGGACATTAACTTTAAACTTTATTTGATAAATTAAATAAGATGTGTGTGTTTTTACGTTTTCGATTCTTTTAAATTTTCGCTGAAAATTGTGTGTTTTAAGAAATAATTTTTTTTCTACAGGATGATTCTTTACAACCGCAAACTATCATAATATACGTCGAGCAACGCAACATCTATCATGAAATCAGTGTTCTGTGCTCCAATATCTATACATTAACTACTTTAGACACCGAACACTCGGAATATCAAGAAAACGATGGGAAAGCAACTCTCGTGCAAAGTGTGCGATCTGGTTGTGTTTCACTAGTGCCACGTACCATATCACAGCTGTACAATTGTCAGGATGAATTGCAACCCTGTAATTATATTATTTAATTATATAATAGAGCAAGCTGCTTGTAATATATATCTATATTTTGTAATATGTAATATATATAATCAATTCCTTTTTGTTGCTTAGTTTCCGGCAGGGATTCAGAAATAACGGACGTGGATAATCCAATACAGTTAATAGCGACGCCCTCGCTTATTACAGCTGCTTGTAGCTTATTAAACAATTTGATATTTATCGGACAGCACGAGGTAGTTCGGCAAATTTATGAACATTCCATCGATAAGTATTTATTTGGGTATGTATACAAAAATGTCTACGCTATAAAACTAAGATATCTTCAGTTATTGTATTATTGTATCTTCTGTTATAAGATGTTTGAATGACATACCGAAGGATACCGGAAGCAGGAAGAGTTTGAATCATTATTCCGACACGTTGGAAATGTATATTAACATCTGTACAGTTCTCACAAATTGTATCACGTACAGCAACGAATACACAGCCGTTGTTCTCTTCTCTCCGGACTCACTTTACACTCTGTTCTGCTTCTTAAATATTGATTTGTATCGTACGTATTGTAAGATTATTATATATTATAAATTATTATTTATAATTTTTACACATGAAAATTTTAACAGAGATATGCTTAATTTGCATATTTATTTATTTAGAGTCCACTGAACCGCGCCTTGTGTATCTGCGTAACAGACTGTGGACGGAAATCTATAACTTCATAGCTGTGCTTTCGTTAACGGAGGACCAGCACTTTGAAGCTATTCAAAGCGCTCTGGAATTATTCGGGCCGGAAACGGTCATGGCTTCCATTTGTTACGCAATAAAAGACTCAACGACAGATTTACGAATGAGCGCTATAAGTTGTTTGGCTTTTCTGCTGTCCCAAGAAATTCAGAAGGATATGTTGGGAAGAAATGGTAACTGTTTATTGCAGACTGTGCTCGATACTTATATGACATATGTCACAATTGAAAGCAAGGATGATAGTCTGCGAGACGTGATATCGAGTGTGAACAAATTATCGATAAGAGATGCCAACGCGTATTCCAGAAAGTCGAACGAAAGCGAGGATTTGTATACGGTAATAAATGACAAGCCATCGAACGAAGAACGAATTACGATGGGAAACGAATTATGCGAGCTTCTACTGCATCTTTTCATCGCTCATAATTATGCGAAATCCAAGAAGAATTGCAAACAATCGGAAGACAAGGATCTTATTATAGGTGCCCTTACGAATTTATTATATGTATCGAAGGAAGCGAAACGGACGGCACTGCAGGGAAATCTTCCTGAAACCGCATTAATGATCCTCAAGGAAATATATGTGAAGCTAAATCTTCAACCGTTCGAACTTTATAAGAAACAAGCAGAAAGAAAGGTACGAAACGCCGGAAATACATAATGAAATATCTTTGCAATTTTTTATCCTATTTTTGTAGCAAAAACCGTCTTCTTTTTTGTCACAGACTCATCCTTTATTGCACGATGCAAACTGTATTTTCACGCTTCTAATGAATTTCATGTACGGGGATGTACACGTAAAGGAGAGTCTAACAAAGGAGGGTTTGGCAGATGTGGTGCACAAATTGTGGGTTCGAATAGCATTAAATAAAACAGTGTCTACGACTGCTTTAAAATTGCTGGCGACGTTTACAACTAAATCTCGTGTTGGTAAGATAACGTTCGAGCGATTAACTTGACAATTGTTACTTTCAATAAATATAATGTTTCTTTTTTTATGCTATTATCCTTGGTTAATCGCAGATTTTATTGCACATTTTTAGCCGCGCAATCTTTGACATTAACGACAACATTACCGGGAAGTGGTTTAAGAAAAACGCCGAATACTCTCGCATTAATACATGTTATTATCCAAGTAGCGAGCAAAGAAATTGAAAGAGCTGGTCAACTTTTCGATAATCACAAGATGCATTTTGCCTTTCATATCTTGCGAAACGCAGTACATGTTCACGAGTGTAGAATTTCTATCTCAAAGGTAATCATTGTTTATTGATTCTCGTTAGAATGTATTTAACGTAATGGCTTAGAATTCAAGAAATATGAATGTGCGTTTCAAGTTATAATTTATAAACTTATTTTGCAGAGCAATCTTCTTCAATTCTTTACTAAAATACATCCCATTATCACTAAAAGAACGAAACCGTGGCCATTAGTCGAAATGTATTGCTTAGAATTTTTAATAGATTTTACTTATTATGAAGAAGGGCAGTTATGCGTGCCAAAGGTAAGATATAAAAACATAAATTAAAAAAAGAATAAAAATATAAATATTAATATATGTATTTTTAATATTCTTATTTTTTATAATAACATTTTAGGCTACTGACGCTCTGGACGTTCTGATACATTTGGCAAAGTGTTCTTCATCATCGAGCAAAGTCCTCGCGATATCAATATTACGCAATTTAGCTTTCAACTTAGCGAATAGACCTCGACTTCTTAGTTCAGGTAAATAAACTGATACAAGTACTAGAAAAGATGCAATAATTGTCATATTTTTGTACTGCTAATTATATCTTTTGCTTTTCAGTGGATTTTATCAATTTATTGCACGATATCTTTAAGACTGGATCGATGTGTGAGATCAACTTAGCTGGTTCTATGTTATGGTCTTTGGTAAGCAACAATCAAAAAGGGAAACTCATTGCACGGAGCGCCGGATTTTCTCAAAGCATTCGGGAAGCTCTCGGTAGATTTACGTTACTGAGTATCGATGCCACTAAACAAGAACAGGAACTAGTCAAGATTCTGCAATATGTACTTACTATTCTCAGCCCGGTTGAAGTAAAGAACAGTGATGCATAATTTAGTCCAAATTGTAACAAGAGACCAAATATTGTATATAATTATTTGCGATCAATTTGTATATAAAATAACGATGTAATATTTTTTTATAAAAAATATAGTTATATTGGAGTATATTTTAGAAAAGTATAGACTTGTCAATATAAATATAAATATTATAAAAATTTATTACAAATATTTAATATTGTGATTCTTTATATGCATTATATGCATGTAATATGATTTTTATTTGTATAATTATCATCATTTTAGGTTTATTAACTAGTCAACGATAAGTCAGACGTCTTCTCTTTTCAGTAGAACGAGTCAATGTCAAGCCAATCATCCTATTTTTAACTAAGAAAAAAAATGTGTGCGCAAAATTGTAAAAATTAGTTTATTATTCTGTAAAATGTGAGATTTTAGATCAAATTTGAATAATCGCGCCTATTCGGTGATTAACAATATGTAGTTTGCATTTCTCACGATATAAGGCAGCACCGACACCGTCCTCAATTTTAACACGAATGTACCCGTTCTCTCCAGTTCTCTTTGCACTTGACTGATCGCACACGGTTCGTAAAACTCGAGAATTTCCACGGAAATTCGCGACGTGTCAACCATGGACGACGTTCTCGAGAGCTGGGAGCAAATAGAAGAGTCCAGTGTAAGATGCATTTGAAATTCCGTTTTCTAAATTACATATGGAATGAAATAATCGCGTCTTAACCTATACCGCACGCGAACACCTTCAAGTTCAAGTTTTTTGGCACCGCACGACTGAGAAACTGTCGAAAACAATTGTTTTCTGTGTTTTTGCGTTAAGTTCCATCATGTGTTCGTAATTGCATTTTATCAATGGATTAGCACATGATCCCGAATTGCAATAATTACTGTTACCATAAGGGTACATTGTTGTATGGAGTGTGTAACATTGTAAAGTTTACATTGTTTTTTTTTCAACGAATATTTTTTTTAATTTTTAAATGTCTTATTCCGTTATTTCTTTTATTTAATTTCGCATATTAAAAAATTAATATAATGTATAAAATTATGATAAATTTTAGACATTAGACAAAAAACTGGATGCCCTTCGATTGCACGCGGAGGAAGAAGTGGAATCTTCTAGGTAAGTGTTTGGACATATATTTTTAAATATTCTCTTTTCCGTTTTATGTTTGTCATAAACTTATTTAAAAGTATGCTGCTGTAGTCTGTATAGTTAAGAGTATTATTTTTTATCATTATTTATCATGTAGCATATATTCTATTTATTATATATCCAACTTCTTAAAAACAGGACTAGTCATAACACAAATACAAAAATGATCATATTGGGTGAAGATGGCCTCAGATCGCAATATGTACCACCAAAACCTATGGTAAAGATATTAAAAAGACCAACCAAAGATTCGCGAGGGAGTGGCGATGGGCCACTGAATGAAGATAAGCCTAAACAACCTATCAAATCTTTGAAGCAGGTATATATTTGTTTTGTTATATTTGCTACTTGTTGCTATTTAGTATTTATTGTTATATTTGTTACTTATTTCATCCTTTAGAATATATGAGATTGTAACGAGTAATTTTTAGAGGGAGCAAGAGTATGCAGAAGCGCGAAAGAGAATCCTAGGCGAAGAGAAAAGCCCAGAAGAAAAGATGATGCAAGAAATCAACAAAATTCAACCAAAATCAAATTCATCTAACGGCAGCAACGTTCCCAACAATGTGGTTCGCATGCCTGCTGGCCCAGATGGCACTCGGGGCTTCAATGTACGCAGGTAGCGCGTCTTCTAGGGATCATCTCTTTCCACCCATCTACTTCCTTTCCTTCTCTGCTGTTACGGAGAAGAGAAACGGCTATGAGGCCGATGTCACAGCTTTGCGTTCACGATCTGAGCGCACGAAATATCCTTCGAGCTATGTCCCGTGAGGCGTTATCACGCGTGGACTTATTAGAAAATCGAGAGAAAATGGACTTGAAACGAAGACGAAACGCTAAACGTCACGCCGCGTTCCGTCGGTGTTTTGCGATATTAAAATATTTTAAGGAATCAAAGAGAAGACGAAATATATAAAAGAGAAGATTAATTTATATGTATATATGTATATATATTCGTTATATTATAAACGTAATATATACACATATATATTACGTGAAGAGTCACAATTAGGGCGATGCAATGGAATAAAGGCGCGAATTTGTTACATGCATGGCAAATGCAGTTTGTTTCACATCATCAATATGTAAAATATTCAAAATCTTTGATGAATTGTGTAATACGTATCTATCTAATAAGAGACTTCTTGTATATACATGTACAACAATTGTATGCAATATGTTTTGCGTTTTGTTAATAAATCGAAAATATTAAACAAGTCTCTTTTAAACTGAGTTTTATAAGAATATGATATAAACGTAAAAAACTTTTTCTCATAATTTTATAATATCTTTTTATATTATTATCATTGATAGTTATGTAAACAGTATCATGAGATAATTGAGTTATAAATATATTCAATGCTATCGATAATTTAATTTTATATGTCGACTCATACATATCGAGTGAAATTTTCATATTAAACAAATGGATCATTTAAAATAATAATAATAAATCAAATAAAATCCTGAATCAATCGTCCTTTGTTAATAATTTTTTTAAATCCCGGCTAAAATGGAGCGTTTCTGTTAAGAAGGAGAAAGAAATAGTATGTTTACTCTTTTCTAGTGTTCGAAGCTAGCCGAAGCGCGAAGCTTACATGACATACATACATGACTTGCGCATGTGTCGGTATTCTCTCTCTCTCTCATGCTGCTTGCTGCCTGTGTCTCAAATCTGGCGTCACTGATCCGAGTATGATAACGTTGTGTATGTGTGTACGTATCGTGTGGCGCATGTCAAATCTCGTGTGCCGCTATCAGCTCGTCTGTCGGTGGGAAGGTATTTTTTGTGATTTCGAAATGACGTTCATAAATTGTTGGTAGAAATAAGTGTTCAGGACTGGAAATTACCGCAGCGTCGTTTCGACCGGAACTGTAAGGATGGCGGAATCGAACGGACCAATTCTTCACGTCATTGTTGTCGGATTTCATCACAAAAAAGGCTGCCAGGTAAACCGCCAATTAACCTGTCTCTTTGTCGCATCCGCATTCTGCGCATTTTAATCGCGTTGTACTAATTTAACGTCACTTTTCAGGTTGAATACTCGTTCCCACCCTTGGTGCCTGGTGCGCCTAATGAGTGTCCTTTAGGATGGAAGTATTTGCCTACGCTCGCCTTACCCGATGGTTCTCACAACTACGACGAAGACACTGTCTATTTCCATTTACCTAGTCTCAACGATCCAAAACGCACGATATATGGCATTTCATGTTTTCGACAAATACCAGTTGAGGTATAAATAAAGATATTTTGTATTAATGTTTCAATTTTTATTTTAATTGATATTAAATCAAACATTATTACATTTATAGAAACTGAAAAACCGCACATCTGACATAACAAGGGGCACTGTTCAAAAATCAGTTTGTGTGCTGAGTACTTTGCCTTTGTACGGACACATTCAAGTGAAAATGGCCCTAATAACGCATGCATACTTTGAGGAAGGAGATTTTAGTAAAGTGTCTTTATTGGAGGATACTTATCATCATCTTAATTCGTGTATGAGTGGCGATAGTCAGATACCACCACAAATTTTTGTTGGTAAATATTCGTGAAGAAGTTTCTGGTCGATAAAATTATAAGACTTACATTTAAATTGTTTATAGGTTTATCAGCAAGAGATTTTATACTGCAATTTCGTCACAAAGTATTGCTCTTATTTAAACTACTTTTGCTTGAGAAAAGGATAGTTTTTTATCAATCGCCTGTGCAGCCATTATGTGCCACAATATTGACTCTATTGTCATTGTATCCTGGCATGATCGAGCATGGTCTTCAACAAGCGGCTTGTGTCAGGTACTGCAGAAACCTTTTAATAAAGTTAGTCTACAACGGAGATTAACAATAAATTGATAAATATTTTTTGTCTGTTTAGACCATCCAGGCCAATGTCTCCGATTCCAACTTTTGACGAAGAAGAAATCTCGACAAGCAATATTGTAGATTCCAATTTATCGTCCACCCATATTGTCAAAGATAATATGTCAAACTCAAGCGACGAGCAGTGCAATGATAACAGTAACAGAAACTCTTTATGTATCAATGACAACAAAACTATGGAATCTATGGAGGGCAAATGCTTGGACGGACTGCGACACATAACTTTACAGAAGAACAACAATGACAATGAAAACCTAAATATAAAGGTTATTGAAATCGAGTCGGCGCAAGAGTGCACTGAATCCTATCTGGAAGACAGTAACTCGAAATACTCACCGAAGCCAAATGATAATGTGCATAGGGTGCACAGTGTAAATGCCATTACGTTAAGTACGGGTGACACGGATAATAGTTTACCTCGCGACACAAGTAGCGATGCGCTCTCTGACGCTAGATTAACGAACAGCATCACGCAAATTGCACACATTAATCCGGAATTATGCGGCTTACCTTTAGAACTATTTACAAAGGTATGCTTCTAATGTCATTATATCAATCGCAGAGAGTATAGTGAAAAGCATATTGTTAATTTTATAAAAATATTTTATTCTCTAGGGATATCTTTGCTTGCCCTATCTGTCGTTGCCCTATTTGGATCTCTTAGGAGACGTTAATGTTAGAGGATACATAGTAGGCGCTACAAATGTGCTATTCAAACAAAAGAAGCAACTCATCGATGTGCTAGTCGAGGTAAGTGTAAGAGTGTAAAGATATTTGAATTTATATTTTAATCACAAGATTAGATACAAATAATATGACTTATAATTTTATGTTATTCAAAAAAAACAGGTCGAAAACACACGGATAGAAGCGACTGATCCCGAGTTAAGACGACAACTGCACCTTACCACTGAAGATCTGAGATTCGCTGATTATGTTGTAAGGCATGTGGCCGAGCCTCGGAAGGATATATTTCTAGACGGAGTAGGATGGGAGGGCGGTGACGAATGGATCAGAACGCAATTCCGGGTGTACCTGTTGAGCATGCTGCGTACCTCAATGCAACAAGACACCCGCCAATCGGATCACTACAACGCAGCGTTCATGTCCGCGTGGCGCAGTACAAATAATTATAAGGCGTGGTGTAACGTGAGCAAGCCGGAGATGCTTAATATTGAACCCGGTCATCCTTTTGCTGGTCAGCTGTCAGTTCAAGATATGAAGCTGCGTTTATCGCAGTAAGTAAAAATCAGAAATTGTTTCAAATATAAGTTTAGAACAAGACAACGAATAGATACAAAAATTCAATCCATAGTTTTTTTTTGCGTTCTTTACGTTTTATTTGTATTCTGACTGAATGTGAAATGAAAATAAAACATGTCTTTTGTGTGTGGTTTCAGTACTATGCAAAATACAGAAAGTGGCAGAAAGTTGAATCAAGCAATGGCATCAACTGGGCGCGCTGTAGCAACCACGGGGAAAGCCGTAGGTAAGATTGCACGATTTGCTAATTTAAATATAAACGTAACAAAATGTTATAATGTTAAAGAGCACATTTAAATATATTATCAGTTTAAATATATATCCATATTCCATAAAACTGCACATTATTATTTAAAAAAATAATGTATGCACTGTTTTTTTGTTTTGTTTTTACGTTTTCATCATGTGTTTATGTTTTACATTTTTTTAATCATATTAAAAAATTATTCGCAAGTATTTACATTATAACGCAAATTAGTTTCGCCAATCGCGATCGGAATCATGCGTATAAAAGTATTATTTCTGGAACTAACAATTTACAAGGGGGAGCATTGTCACAAGCGAAGGGCGCATTCTCAAACTGGTGGAGCACACTGACGACAGTTCAGCCGGTCGACGAAGCAAAGATTGACAATCAAACGGCAAACAACGCAGTGTCTGGTATTATGGATAAAGCGTCTATCGAAGACGAGGAGATGAATGTCTCTACTACCAATAACGCAGACATTAGCGTAGACCTTGATTAATATAAAAATTTATGCCAATGGAAAGCGACCGTGAACGATCGGAACTAAAAATATAAGACGGGTACCGGTGAAGAGCATAAATAATGATAAAGATATGTAAAACCGACGCAAAGAATTTATTCTAAGCGAGTAAAACATGCTTGTGTGCTAAAAGGCCGAATCTTTTAAAACATCTCAGTTTTAGCGGAAAGAAGTGTGACAAAAAATTAAAACCGTATGTACAACTTATTATATTAATATGATATGCAGTTTCACAAGGTGATTCTTTAGATCTGCAGACAATTACTAAAGGTTACAAACATGATATATCGCTGATTTAAATATAATTTTGTAATTTTTGCCAAATATTGTATATAATTTCCATATACTTTATATGTGATATTATTTCGTTAAAACACAAAAGACACGTAATAATTTTCTACTTAATATCTTTAATATCACGTGCTATAATTATACGATATTCTATAAATAATTTAATTCTAATTTTCGATAAAGTAAGCATTTTTTCAGAATAAAAGTAATTAATTGTATATCGCTCATTCTTGATGAGTCAATCATGTATTTAAATGTATACGGTATACAAAAATATTGTTTTGTTTATGTATAGAGATACTCTTGTTTAAAAAAGTACCTGTATCCTTTGTACATAAAAAATAGTACAGCATTATATTTACAGCGCACATTTACGTCACGATTATTATTATAGTGATTTTTTGCGCGTCTCGCATGTTATTTTGAAGAGACTTTTATTTAATTTATTGCTCAGAAATGGGAAGAATATATTCTTCTTTAAGCGCGTGAAAGAACGCGAAATAGAGTTGGCATATTTGACATATGCCGAATCATACACTATCGATTGTATCAAATTTCTATTTACAGGGTTTCAGTATTTTATATCGTCGCGAGTAGCGCATTATATGTAAACGATGCGAAAAGTTCGGAACTAAGGCCACTGATACGTAGCAAGGCATAAAAACATTGTACATTGTTCCATAATTCATTTCATTAAAATTATATAATCCTGTTATTGACAATATTGCTACCTCCATTTATTGTCGAGATTACATCGTACGATTAGTTATGTGCATGACACAAAACGATCCCTACAATTCGATAGATCAGTAATGATAGATCTAAACTGAGATATAGATAGTTGTTAAAGTGACTTGCTGTATCCCTATATTCCTCGGAATAAATTGTTAGCTTTATAAAGATCGTGGACGATCATTCTTGAAATGAAGAGCTGCCGTTAGTAGTAGCGCAATTACATTTTAATTATGCTTAGAGCACGTGTAGATTATTTATAGCGCTACTAGCGTAGTCATTATAGTAACGTACGTATTCGATTAAGGTGAGAAGTTTTTCCTTCGCTACAATCGTAGGCTCGCGCGAGAAAAAGTTTGTAACGTAAAGATTCATAATGATATTATTAATTTACTTTTTATAGAGCATGATACTTAATACTCAGCCTATTTTTACACCATCTTTGGGTTAGTTAATAAATTTCCAAATCAAACGGCCACATTTGGCGCTGAATAAACATTTTTATTTACATATGTAAGAAGTATATATTTTTTAATTCTAAAATTGTAATATTATATATATTTGTTATATATATTATTTATATAATCATCAACAAAGTGATATGAAGCTTCAGTCTGCTAAAGTTTTTTTAAGTTATTATTTAATTAAAATTCGGAATTATTTAATAGAAAGCAGTACATATATATATGTAGAAATTGTAAACTGTTTATTTCGAAAGACTGATTAAGTAACTAATTATAATGAATAATTTATCTTAAATGTGTGGTCAAAGACTAACACTTTTCAGAATAAACAGTGCTGAATTTCAGAATAATCATGCTGATCTAGTTTAAGTTGCTATATAAGTACATTATACTTGTGATATTTAGTTTGTTATAATTTGTAACTTGAATTAAACTTCTTTAAGATTTGCTGCGTTTTGCATGCTATAAAATATATTTTTATTTACATAAGTGCGCGGTGTGCCAAATGTGGAACGTATAAATTTTTTAGAGGAAGCATCGATGTATGGACAAAATGTATTTTGCAGTTAAATGGCGCGATAAATTTAGACGAGACAATGACCAAGCTACTAGTCAACAGAATACGTATTAAATAATCTCTTGTAGTAAATCTTTCAATTCCGTCGTTGAAAAAATTGTTTCTTTAATAGTGTATAGTTGTTATATTTAATACTTACTTGATAATTACTTTTATTTACGCTTATTTGTCTACATAAAAAAATGTATAGAAAATGTATACAAAAGTATATTTGGATCTTTTTATTTAAGACTGTTGATAATAATGTTTGATTTATCATTACATATATTATTACAAAATATTTTTTACCGGTTGTCATAAGATTGTCGATTATTATATCCTATTTTTTTATATTTCTAATCTTTTTTGCAATGGAATTATCGAAATATAAATTGCAAATATAACAACACACAAAATATAAATTCTTTTTGACTTATAGGGCTTAAGAGAATCTAACATATCGTTTGCTTAATCCGTTCGCACAGTTCAAATAAAAAAGAAATGAATATCGAGTTCGAACTTATCTTCAGCTCAAAAGAATCGTGCCGATTTTTCGACTAAATTCAAACAAATTTTTTTATCGACACAAAACTTCATTCAATTCAATTATATATTGTCCATTTTGTTTGATGATCTGTGGATCATTCGCGGATTTTCAGATTTTGGCAAAAACAATTAAGTCATCATTCACGATAGAAGATCTACCAGCGCTCTGTATCTTTGAAACTGAAATTTCCTGCTCGGAATTTCAGCTCTTCCTAATCCTATCAGTTACGATATCATCCCCATACACATATCGACTGAATGGTCTGTCACCTTCTCATCTTTCCGAAACAAAAACAACATTATGCGCCTCAAATATTCTACAGACACTTCTATGTTTATATAGAATCTAAATTATCAGAATAATTCTTCAAAACTTACTCTCTTCAATAATAAAATACCTAATTTGAACCCAAATCGTTCTAAAAAACGATCGCTAATGGAATAGTCGCTAATACACTCTCAAATTACACTAACAAAAATCGGCACGAACTCTTTGGTTGACCCAATGACGCTCGATTTTCAAACTTTGTCCGAATTCATCGATCATATGAAATTTCTAAGCCCTACTTATTATTTATCGAACTAGAGGAAAAATAACAAAATAAAAAGTTAATAAAGTAATCAAACAATTGGATGAATTTGCACAGCTTTAGATATTATATTATCGCGAGAGAAAGTGATTTGGATTAAAAACCACTTCCTGTTGATAATTGATATGTTTTCTATATTTATAACACAAGTTTGTACAGCTTATGAAAATGTAAAGAAACAAAATGTCGCAATCAGAAACGATTTATGGCAATGTATTGTATTGTATGACTGTGTAGTACCACCATTTGTCAAAATATTAAAAAGAAATAATATATCCAATTCTGAATGTTTAAGTAGTTCTTATTAAAATGAGTTATACTAATAATATTTATTAGATATTATATCTGTTAAAATATGCTACGTATGCATATAAATTTTTAACAATTAACAATTTGTATATTCGTTCACATTTGCGTTTTATTTATATAGAATTATTATATAGCCAGTGTGAACGCGCCCTTAAAATCCTTTTACGGAGCGGGGTGCGGGACGCGGAACGATACGGGACTGTACGATACGGCAGCTAGTAGGGAAACGAAAGCGAGAACCGGGGATGATCTCGCCGCGAGCCGTGACTGGTCGGCCGATGCGCCGCCGAATAAACATCGTAGTTCACCGATAATAGCCGAAGCGCCGTAAGGTGCCGCTCGGCCTGCACGAGAGCGAGACAGAACAGCAGGCCGTGCGAACGCCATGGTGTGTGACTGGCAACGTCACTGTCGTCACCGCCGCCGCTGCTGTTGTTAAATTTCGTGTCGCGAATGCAGCGAGAGACATCCGTACGAGTCGCGAGTGAAGTGTCGGATGTGCAACGTGTAAATCACAATCGTTTTAGACAAATCGCGAGTGAGAGAAATATATATATGTGTACATCCATATATATATGAAAGTGAAGAACGCGATGCCGCGTCGCCTTTTTTAAAAGTCCCGTGTGTCTCCGCGCGCGCGTCGTCCGCGAAACCACTGATCGCCGAACGCCCGCTCCGCGCCGCGCAGTGCAGTGTGTGTACACGTACGAGGCCGCGTGTGTACGCGCGCGTGCTCGCTCTCGTGTTTGTGCATGTGTATGTCGCGAGTGGCTCTGTGTATCGAGAGGAGAGTGCGTTACGGTTCCTACGAGGTGCGCTTTTTAGTACAAGTACTGCCGGGCTAGCGAGCGAGAGTGTGGCCGACGCGCGCGTACCGGCATCTAGGATATTTCGCTCGTGTCATCGTTCGTGTTGTGCCGTGGTTGTGTCGTCGTCGTCATCGACGTCGTGATCGTCGTAGTAAACGTTCTCGTTTCTCGCGTCTCAGTGTCGCAGTTAACGACCCGGTGTTATCGTGTGACGCGCGGTGTGAGCCGCGGTCTCCCCGGGTGGTTCGCGGTGTCTCGTCGCGAAAGAGTGCGCCATGCGAGAGAGGGATAAATCGGTGACTGGCGGGCGGCGGCCATCTTCCAGATGAGTTTTTCCTCCTTTCTTCCGATAAACGGAGCGCGCGCTATGCCGTGAGGGAGAAGGACGGAGAAGGCGAAAGAACGTAAGAGAGAACCATTGATAGCACGAGAATAAGACGGATCGGAAGAGAGCGCGTGAAACGAGAAGGATTATCCGCGTCTGTCATGCAACAAGAGATGCGGTGAACGGCGCGTGCTACTCGGTGGAGTCACGAAATTTCACGAGAGCCGCGTGTCGCCGCTTCGACCAGCCTTCGTTCGCGAGGCTGTGTGGAAGAATAACAGTCGCTCGTGCCCGCACGAGAGAGAGAGGGAAAGAGAAGAACGTATTAGGAAGTGCGCGCTTGTCCGCGCGTGTGAGACAGAGAGGAAGAGATTCAACGAGAAAGAGAAGCAGGGGGGACAGTGGAGCGAACCAGAGCGGAAGACGGAGAAAGAGACATACCGCGTGCGGGGGAAGAAAACGGAAGCGGTGCGGAGTGAAACGAACGTGGAGAGGCCGACCCCCTATCGTCGCGCGTACGTTCGTAATCGCGTCGTTTTCGCGATCGTAAGATCGGCGGGGTGGAAGGAGCGGCAAGAAGAGAGAAGAAGAAATAAAAGGAAAAAAAGTGAGTCGCGTCGAGACATCGTCTTCCTGCGATCTCGGTGGAGTGCGCGTTTGTCAGCGGTGGAATCGATTACTCGTCGGTGTGTAACCTCCAAGTCTCTGGCTGGACGTCGCGAGGAGACTGGGAGGCGGCGGCGGCGGCCCGAGGGGGTGGCGGAGAGGAAGGCCTCGGCGACCCGAGCCATCGCCTCTTGCCGTCGTCGCCTTCGCGTTCGGCGATTCTCGCGTGCGTCTACGAACTGAGTTTTTCGAGCGTGTCGCGCTCGAGAATTTGCGAACTAATCGCAGCGGATTAATACATTCTCGGGACACCCGAATCCACAAGACGGATCGCAGGCCGTTCACGCGGCGCGGCGTGTGCACCGCGCGATTCGTCCGATCAGATCGATCGGCGGATTAAAACGGCCGGTTGCGCCGACCGTGCTTTGCCGTCTCGATCAATTTGCTCTCTTTGACTAAAGCGGCACCTACACACACAGTCGGTATTGTTGCGTTGTAATTTTGTCGACACTGATATTGGGGCCAATAAGGGCCGGGACGCAATGAACCATAAGAGTAAGATATGACATTAGCAATCCACTGTAAGATGTTACGGGATATGTTCAGCGATTGTGTACGACCATCGCGCTATTTCAATTCGTTGTTATCAAACTTTTATTTAATAATATTTTTAAGTGAAACATATGGCATTTTTCATTAAATGGATTTTCATCCATTCCAAATTAATTAATCACGATGATGTCATTAAGCAATCTTAGATTGATCAAAATCCGTCCGATCAAAAACAATAATATAAATTTTAAAAAGTTCTGACTGTTCAACGCCATTCAAGTCGCTAATTTAACTTACTCACGCATTCTTTTCTCAAGTATTCTTATTATATTCAGACAAAACAATCCGGAAATCAATATAAGTTGATTAAACAATCGTGTACTGCGATCCGTCGTGTGATTCGGGCTTAAACGCCGGCGCCCTTGGCTCGTGTCAGCACATAACCTCATCTTGCTGGTCTTCCTTAGGATTCGTTCAGACAGTGGCGATTACCGTTAAGAGTAGAGTGCCGTGTTTTCGAGAGCTACACTCTTTTTCATTTCTTTGAATGAAACAGATACACTCTCATGCTTTACAGGTAGAAAAAGACAACAGAACGAAAGCACAGAAACGAATGTAACAGAAAGTTTATCACATGTATTGCATTTTTTTTTAAATTCGAATTTCGTGCTCGCATTCTGGACAGATTTCTTGATTTATCATACCGCCATTATGAGTGTTGCTACACCTGGTATACTTACATTGTGGCTTAGTTCACCCATCTTAGCTTTCCTTTCCGATATTATGCCAGATGAGCAAAAGGAGAAATTATTCTCTGGAGAAATTCACGCGTGTTTGAAATCGTACGAAAGAATCTTGAAAACGTTGAAGTTGATGTGTATCAGTACGTGTTGATCAATTCTTATATTGCTCCAGGGTTTCATCGCTTTGTAATCGTATTCATGTATTCTTAGACAATAGTCCGGTATTTGCATTGTGCATTGTGATGAATCCGAATAAACAAGACCTACGCGACGAGAAACTAAATTTAAAAATAACTTAACTTGTCTTATAAATAGCTTAACTTGTCTTATTGAGTGTTTGTTTCTTCATTTTTATATCCTTATGTAAGATGATATTTATGATATCAAGATAACTGTCTAGTGATGATTTTTTTTTATTTTAAAACATTTTTTTTAGATCTGAAACGAATTCTAAGGAGACGTTAATTGATCCGTCCGAGTTAAAAGTTAAAAGTTATCCGAACTATTAGTAACGTCAACTAATTGTGACTAACGATTACGGGCGTGTGATAGCGATTAAAAATAAGTTAGACGCTCGACAGTTGTGTAGACGCGCGTGATCCGATCATTATAGAAAGAGAAAGAGAGAGTTTTGCATTCGTCGCGGAACTCGAAGCTGGAAATCAGGGAGTGTGAATTCTTACGGATGCTCTCGCGGTTGTTGCCCACCCGGTACATCGCGATCGAGAGAGTGTAGTGTGAGATCAATAATGAGACAGGTGCTCTCATTGGTGTAAAGCGATGCGGCGGAGCTGAGAGTTTTGTCGGGCGGCACTGAGGGGGCTCATGAAAAGTGTATCCGGCGCGCGTAACGCCGCCGTCAAAGACCACCACCGTGCCGCGGGACATTCGAGCGAGTTGGATCAGTGTGATTATAATGTAGTGCCAACTTTGCAGATGGATAAACAGGGATGACTGATAATTGCTGGAACTCTGGCGGTGGTAAGTCTGGTCAATATATTTTAATTCTTTTATCATTGAAAAATTTCATAAAGTTTCGAACTATCGATAGCTAATCTGATTGAAAACGTCCGATGGACTTCGCGCGAATCGCGTTATTCGAAGAGTTTTGATGTCTATGGAAATTTTTGCGACACCCGGTGCATGAAAATACGGATGTTATTTCGGCCTCACAATACATGAGATTAGATAAGTAACGCAAGGATAAATCAGGCGACACAGACACATTGCTCGCTCAATTACGTTTGTATGATCCGCGAGTGTTAATGCTGCTTCAAGAACCGCAGCAAAAACTTATTTTGTAAGGAGTTGAGCTGTATTTCGCTACTAATCAGTAACTTTTTATCCGCTTTATGTATGAGAAAACATGCGTAAACAGCCTCGAGAATATATTTTCTGTTCGTAAGCATTAGCGAAGTAGTTTCGAAGTCTCGTACTATTATGAAGGTTAAAGGTGACTACGCATTTTTCATAAAAACGATCATGAAAGAGTCTATCTCCAAAAATATGTTGATTTCTTATCTTGTATCGTTGATATTAATACTTAGCTATTACTGGTGATACACACTTGGATTTCATGACAATGTGTACGAAATTTAATGCAACTTCGATTTTTGAGAAGAATACGTTTCCAAAATTGTTATAAGAATGGACTTGTAATATTAGATTGATCGGAAAGTTTCTTCGCATTTTTGCAATAAATGACGTCAGTAGTAAATTGCATTATATACAGTTAAAGCATCGAAAGCTATCCACTCGAGTACCCTCACCACTTTCCAAAAGCATTGGAATGAATGCTTTTAGAAAGAGGTGGAAGTACCCGAGTGGATAGCTTTCGATGCTCCTAACTATACAAATTATCCAATGAGGTAATAAGCTTTAACCATTTCACAGAGTTGACAATTTTCTGCGCATTAAAAAGAATTCTTGCATGTTACCGCTTATCGAATAAAAAGAGAATCTAATTACAAGTATCAAATCCGCTTTGTATGTTGAGCTGAAATTTAGTTCCGTAGACTTCGCACGTGAATTATGTTGTTCCATCAGTATTCACTGAGATATAATATTCTCGGCCTCAGTTGATCGTTGTTTAATCACGCTACCTTTTAAACAATTAATGCACGTCTGTAAGATAAGAATCTACGATTCAGTCAAAGTCACGAGTTCACCGTTTTATCTTGCGCCGAAGTACTGCGGGGAGAACTCACTGCGGAATAAGGTCCCTGCTAAGTTCATAAGCCTCACGGAAACTTTCCGATAACGTTACGTTAACCGATTGACTAACGCCGCACTTTCCGTTTTATCGCGCCGGGCAATGGGCAGAATGAAATACCGAGATGCCGAAAGTTTATATTATTTATTGGCATTCCGATATTAACTGAGTATTGGAAATAAACTATCTGCCGTAGAAAAATATGAGAGAATTACGCGCAATATGCGCGAACTGCTGCGTTGCATAAAGTTGTACGTCTGCGCTCATCGACGACGACGACGACGACGACAACGACAACGACAACGACGACGACAAAACCCGACGATCCTTTTCTCACCTTTTATCACGATGGAAATACACGGCTAAAGAACGACAGCGGCTCGCGGAATAGTAGATTCTAGTGAAATCATGTGTAATTAGTCATCTCTCTATAAATATCTATCTTAGTCGCGATAAAAGCGGCGATAAAGACGCTGGTGCCGCTCTCGGTGGCCTTGTACGGTGTGTAATATTTGGCGCTGCGTTTTAGCTTTATTCAACAAAACCACGAAATAGATGTTTCTCGATAGCGGTGTCGCTGACGAGATGCTCGCCGTCCGTGTATTCGATGACACACTTTTTCAGAGGCTGCCCAGATGCAGCGGCAACGGCGGCGGCGGCGGCGGCGGCGGCGGTGTCGGTTGATGGACGCGCGCGTGTAACGTGCAACTTGCCCGCCGTTCGTGATAGAACCGCCCGCGAAATATCCGCGTACAAACGTCTCACATTGTTGCTAACGCCGCTCGCTTTCTCCGCGCCTTTTGTAGAACGAATGAAATTCCGGCTGTTACTGTCGTGACACTTTTCCGATGTAGCATTGCGTCAAGTAAAAATTAAAAAACAACACACAAAATGCCCGTTTATTTCTATAAATCACAGACTGAAATCATTTATGTTAATTAAGAAAAATTTGCTTTATAAATGTTACATGGATTAACGATAAATAGTAGCGACAATATCTCACGAATTTTAATGTGTCAGATAAAATATAAGTATTTTTTTTATTGTTAAAAACGTCGCGCGGTACGTTGCACGTTGTGTTGTAAAAGTGCATTGTTTTCAGTTGCACAATTAAACTCGCACCTCTCGCCGAAGCCGCATCTCTATGTTCTTACGGCGAGTCCATTCGCCTATCTCCCCAAGCACTACGAATAAAATAGCCTTGCCCTCGTTTTACATGAAAATTGTGGCCGGCGACGAGTTCAATGACTGCGCTACTGCACTCCGCGCGAGTCGCGCTTCGCGCATTCACTCCGCTTGGATTTATTAAGCACCTCCGACTGCGTCCTGCCATTCCGAATGAAGGTTTAATTGTCACATACCAGCGTGGATTTATTTCCTCGTCACTTTCTCAATTTTCCTCTCGCGAATCCGACCGCGAATATTACGTTGATCTATCGTAGAGACGAAAGGATCGATAAACATCGCTAAATAAAAGAACGTTGCGCTGTTTGGTAACGCGCAACGGCCGGTCATGCATCGTGAACGTGTATAATGTCTTTAACGGATTGCAGTGATTCTCGAAAGTAACGGCGAGCAGTGCGACTCATTCAGTCGTATGCGCGTTGATAACAGAACGACGGACGATCTGGCGATCTAAACTATTAAAATTAAAGCTTGCGGCATATAGCTAATGAGTTTTTTCATGTGACGCGAGTAAATTTGTTATACTTATAAATTATTTTATTCTAATAATAAATAATAAATTTAAAAAATTACTTGTTTGAAACTTTCTGATAATATATACATGATAAATTTATCAAAAATTAGAGATAACTTAGAGATAAATGTAAAAGGAAGTAATCTTCAATAAAAGAAGCTATTTATATCTTTGAAAAACAAATAAATAATTTTACATAAATAATGAATTTTTTAGTAATTAGTAATTAAGCACAAGATACTTTGCATAGCTAATGCGAAAAAACTACATGCTATAAGCTTAAGATACAAAATCAGCGATTATTTTCTAGGAAATTATAATTTGAGATAGATGCAAAAAGTCAGCTGTTCTTTTCAAGTCTTGTTAGTCTAGTCTTGCAATTAGTTATAATGTGGGAACAAATGTAAAAGAAAAGCAGAACAAGCCTATCGCGAGTATCTAATAAATTTTGCTTAAAATAAAAATTATAATTTTATCGGCCATTGATTTCTCTAAATTTTGCGCAAGAACAGACTCTCCAAGTCACACAATAGGAGCGTGGTTTATTCGCGGAGAGGACCGCCGGCGTGAGTTAAATCCAATTCGTTTGATCGAAATAGATAATGTCCGACATAACGTAGCCCCGCAAACGCTAATTATAGCACTCGCGGATTGCGCCGTTTACGAGCCGCTGGATGTCCAGTTTATTGCGCGCACGGTAATCATCAGCGGCGTTTATCCAGCGTCGCAGTTACGGTCGGGGATCGGAAATGCTGGCGATATGGCGATACCATTGAAGAGCATCGGTAATTATTATTTGCGAAGGTAGCAAAACCAAATATTCCGAATTTCTCTTGTAGTCAGAATCATGCAATCTTCCCTTGAGAGAATTGAATATCAAGTAAATGTACGATATATGTATAACACTATAGGAAAACTCAGCCGTATCACGTTGCTGTTATTATTGTTCGGGATCTCAAACAAAACATTGTTCTCTGTTTTCATAATAATATGTCTTGCGTTATTTGAACGAGAGAGAGAGAGAGAGAAAGAAAGAAAGAAAGAAAGAGAGAGAATGGCTGGAGTTAGTTTTGAAGGTAAACATGGATATCACAACTTTCCTCGAATTTTTCCCACTTTGTGTATAAAACGCGTATCTTTCACGGCACAATCCGAAGAAACAAACATAATCGCGATTTGACATTTCACCGTGTTAAGGTGTCCTTGACGAGTAAATTTTTTATTCAATGTACACGTGCGCGGCGACACAATGGTGCTACAGCGAAATCGCAATAAATTCAGATTAACGCGATCCTCTCTCTCGCAGTCGCGCGTGCGGCGTATAATAACGCCACCCGGTATTTAATATTGACTATCGAGCATACCGGAAGCTCGCTTGCGATATTTCCTTTTCTCTTTCCGTTTTCCGCACGGGTAACTCTTGCTTAATCTCTCTCTCTCAATTTTTCGCCCTTTGTGTCTTCGTTCCTTTTCTCATTCCAATATCGCGTCGATTTCAAATCAGTCGAGAAGAGGATCTCGATACATCCGTATATTCTCGTATATGCTTGTAGACTCTCGTAGATCTTGGACATCTTTTCAATTCTTATCGCAGATTTTTCTTCGCGCTTTGTCACTAAAGCCTCGAGCGAAAGGTCAAAGTGTAATTCGCTGTGACTTGCTGTTCCAGGCGCTGGCGTCAAGATGGAGCACTTTCAGGCCACCCTGGACCCAAGGAAGCAGGAGTTATTGGAGGCCCGCTTTCTCGGAGCGAGGGTGAGCTGACTATAGCACACGTCCTCTTTCTCTATCCTCTTGCGCCGAAACCAAGATATTCTTTCTTTTTTTTCTCCATCATATTAAACTTATCCGCGCGGAGAGAGGAAAGATACGATATAATATTAGAAAATGACGCGATGTTACACGAAGACAGATCGTTCATTAGGTTAGATTATCGCTCACTCTGTTGACACATCATCGCCTTATCGTCTTCGGAACGGTTGAAACGAGTAATTAGCTCGTGACCGCACGTAATCGCCAGTAGTATTTCCCCACAAGAAACAACGTGGATTTCGTCCGCAAATTTTCCATTTATCGCTTTATCACGCGTCCCGGGAACTGACAACGTGCACCGCCGCCGACCCTTATCTCGATACTCATGATGAAACCGCGACGTTCGAATTGTCACGCACGTTGCCGCAACGTGATTGCACTTCTCTCCGTCTCTCTCTTTTACCTGAGATTTCTGGCCGTTTCAATAACTGTGCCTAATATAAAAAATCGACTACGTTTGCTGAGAATCGTTGCCACTCTCATCGATTCTCCGATCAAATCCGACGATTATTATGTCACTGGGATAGAATCAATAAACGCTGAAACTAGAATCCGCGCTCATTAAGATTCCGAAACGAGTCACACCCATAATAATGATGGATATTTGTCCGAGATCTTACGAATTAACATTCCGTTCCACTATGTTGTCATAATTTTTTTGCGATCTCCAATTTATCGACAGTGATATCCGATATAATACGAAATATTTCATTTTCCTATCGACATATTATCTTTGATAACTAAATAACCAAATTCTGAGAACCATCGATATAATATTTACATTATTCAATAGTGCAAATGTGCGGAAATATACCGATGTTCCGTTAAATTTAGGCATCCTCAGCCGTAACTGATTTATAGCTGTACAATCCGCGCAGAAAGATCGATCTGGCCGCACATATCTAGTTCTTTTCTCTCGATTCATTTATGTACACGTCGACTCTATTTTCGGCAAATTATGACATCACGGTATTATACGGAATGTCCCAAGAGTACACAATCTGTAATGCATGAGATTCCGCCTTTCGTAATCATAATTTTGTATTGATTTAACACGAAATTATAAAATATTTTCTTGATAAGGTCTCATGCGTGTAAAGCTCGCTCCTTCGAAATTACTCCCCCTGAGACATCCTATATAGGGGATATATTACGTGTCTCGGTGCAGAAACTTGCTCGTCCGCGTGTAATGTAATATTTACAACGATTCGCCGGTATCGATCGCGCTTGCATTTATTCAGACATTAGTATTCGCGACTATCGATGACGTAACAGTGACAAAGAGTATCGACGGGCAAATATCTTCGTAGAAAAGAGAGAACAGAACTCGCTTGTGTTCGCTAGCGATGCTATTAAAAATACGACAGTACACCTAATTTGATCCTGTATCTCCATTTTTAGTACACTAGATATAATCGTAATTGGCTTTTATTTTGGATTTCTAAACCAGATGTGTATATCTCAACGAAGGGTAAATCGCACATATATACACCAGAAATGGAATCGTGAGATCGATTGGGTTAAATGCGTGTATAACTCTATAACTAACCAGATAATATATAGTGACAGCGAAACATTCGTAAAGTGTCTATATATCGGGCCTGAATGCATGAAAAATAAAAGAGTTGACTCAAAAGAATCAACTTTTCGTCAAAGAAGGGCAAAGCTGATAGTCGTGCGAGACATACCGTATACGACCAACCGACCGACCGACCGACCGACCGACCAGCCAACCAACCAACCAACCGACCGACCGACCGGCGACGTTGCCGGGTCACTCGCAATCGTGTAAGACCCGCGCGCGAAGTGTAGTGTTGTAACGTATGCATTTTGCATCCGTCACAAACGCGTCTCCGTCCATTCTGGCTTGTCCATCGCCGCAGCCGAGAGCCAGCGCGCTCGTTATTATCGTTATATCGCATCCGAAGTGGCAGCGGCGAGCAGCGGCGACGGCCGCCGCACGAAAAGGTGTGGCCAATCGCGGCGCGCCGTGCAATCGGTCCGCGTGCTATCGGAAGCACACCACATAGCGCGGCCTGGGGTCGAGCGCGACGAGACGACGTCACGTGGCGCTCTCACTTAGAGCACGGCAGTCAAGTGCGCGAGCCCCGACGCGCTCTCGCGCGCCCGTCGAGCCGTTGGGAGTAGTATGGGGAGGAAGGGGGCGGGGCGCGCTTAAGGGTGCTCTCACATGGTCCCGACGACGACGTCACAGCCGGTATTCTCTCTTGGTTGTCGGACTGTCGTATTACCGACTGTGTTTACAGTGTTACTACCGCGTTTACACCGTGCGTCCGTTCCTTTTTCGGTCGCCGCGCTCTTTCTATATTCGATTGTTTTTTTTGCTTCTCTCTTGTTTCAATCTAACGCGTAATTTTATCCACGGTTGAGGATCGCCATGGACCGAAGTATTAACATGGACGATATCCACACATGAAGACCGCTTAAAAACTTGGCGCAAGTGACTGCTCCTACAACGTATCGACGCCGCTTCCTCCACCTCGAAGCGCTATTTCTCAGGTATATACTTTGCTCGCGATAACTCGACTTATCCAGGGTCGCCATCGACCTCTCGTTGCGTCGGGATAGCCGAAAGCGCTTGGCGTTACTTTCGCGACACATAATACTAACGCAACAGGCGTGAATTTACAGAGCATATAGACGTGTAAACATATATAAGCGCTGTCTTAGCTGACTTTGCTATCTTCTGAATATCTGGCTTTCCACGGAACAGCCTCGTTGAAACACCGCAGGATCCGTTTCGTCGCTTCGTACTCGTGCATCTCTTTGTTCACGGCTGTCCCTTTTCATCCTTTCACCGAAGGACGTAGGGTGTGCGTGCGCGCATAAACGCAGTTTCACCTACACCCACGCGACTGCGCGATGATGCAGCATGCATCAGCGTGCGACCAAAGCTGCACGAACTTCTTGCATCGCAGTGGAAACGTTACGGTTTCTTGCGTCGTGGCAAAAATCACGATTTGCCCTTGTTCTCTGAGTTATCGATGAAAATGCCTGTTTCGCGGTAATCTGATGCCAAATATTAATTATTTGCAAGTCCATTAGATAGATGAATAGATTTATTTTGTACAACTCTGAGATATAAAACCCGTCAGAGCGTACAATATTACGGATATTATGAAGATTACAAAAATTACAAAAAAGAGAAATAAAATAGCTTTTGAGTATTTGTGGAGAAGAGCAAAAGACAAAAATAGTAATAAAAATAACATTTTTAGTGCATTAGAGTAGAAAAGTAAAATAATATAAAGAATAATTTAAATAAGAACTAACAAAGCATGTTTTCTGAGCATAAAACGAATATAAATGAGTAAATAACGCATAAGAAAAATTGAAACATTAAATTATAAAGATATTGTTTCTTCCTCAAGTAGAAGTCACGAAGATCTTTCTTTTCTGTCATTTGAAATTAAACAAAATCGTTACATTCTTTATCAGCTTTCAACGTCGGCTCCACAACATCAGCTCTCAGTCGACATCTGTTAACCGGAAGTTTCATCCGTTCCTACTCCATATATTGATTGCACCGTGCCTCTCATACGCGAAAGAAAGAAATCCCCGCATCAGCTTGCCGCTCGGCCGCAGTCCAACGGCGAAGATTTATACCTGCCGTGCTCGTCTGAACCGAAGTGAGACCTAAGTCGTTGCCGCCTGTCCTCTAGTACCGCTTGTCTACTAACCGTTTATACAACGCGGCCCCCTATTTGTAGAGACCCTAGAGGCCACAAAGGTCCGTTCTATTTATACAATGTTCGAATCAAGTCTTCGTAGCAACCCTGTTTATGCGATCACATGATTGTTTCGTCGCGAGATTCATAACCGTTCGTGACTCATAAATTGCTCATAAATCTTACGCATACTGCTTGAATTGTAACTTGTTGTCATTTCAAAGATGAAATAATTGTCTACAGGTTGACATGATCCAAGTTTTTTCAGATGTGATTAATCGTCCAGATCTGTTGGTCTTTCAAACAGTTATAATTTTGTATCATTTATCTCGTTGTATCGTGTCGCCTTGCTGAAAATCAGTTTTGTTTTGTACGATTGTTCACGATCGCTTTCATCGCGAGTATCCATTGTCCGTTCATCGAATTACGCCAGATTTTCCGTTGATGCATGGCCTGTGTCTCTTTCCGGGACACCCGATGTACACGCGAGCACGGAAGGAATCCGTAGGTACCCGACATTTTGCAGTACTGTTCGTACCGAGCGCGGCGGCAGCGGCAGAGCGGCATAGGTAGTTTCCAAGCGCGAGCATCATCCCTTCGTTTCCCTTCCACTTGGCCCAATATTCTCATCCTTATCTAACTCATCCCCCTTCCTCCGCCCTCTGCCGCCGCTCTGCCTTCCTCGCCACGTCCGCTCACATCCGCAGCGTCTCTCTCGTAACCCCACCCCTATTAGTTATTTTCTCGACGAGTCTCTCGCTCTCCTCTCTCTCCTATTCCTCCCCCTCGCTCTGCCCGTTCTCTCGCTCTCTCTCTCTCTCTCTCTCTCCCTCTTTCGTCCTTCTTCCCTCTCCCCCCTATCTCTCGCTCTCTCTTTCGGAGTCACCTCTGTTGGTCTCCACATCCTTCGAGGATCGATCGAGAGGAACCCAGCACTCTGTATATATGTATATATATCCATTTCCAACCCCTTCCCTCCCCCTCCCTCCCCCCTTCCCCCCTTCTTCCGCTCCCTGTCGATTCCATTTGCTCAAAGTCCGCATAGAAACCCGAACGTTCTCCATGTAAGTTACAGCGTTAGGTATCGTCGGTAGAAGCAACCGTATCCGCTGTATCCTGTACCGAAACGGTCTTTAATTAACCCTTTATGTACCGAATCGAATTTCTCCATTCGATTCGTACTAAGACAGATGCGATTGAAGAAAAAATATTACTTTACATGCAATGTAATCTCGAAGTTTCATTCAACAAGTA